CTCAGCCATTCGCCATGTGTCGTGTTCTGGATGTTTCCTTCGAATTTTATTTTTTTATTTTTTCGCACTTGTTTTTGGCTTTTTAAACGGTTTTTTCTGGGGTTTTTCGACGTTTTGGTATTCCCCTGGTCTTTCTTAGCTTTTCGACCAAAAAAATTTTCTAAATTTTTTTTTTCACGAAAAAACGCGTTTTCTTTTTTTTTCGTGAAAGTCACGGTTTTTCTTCCGCGAGAGTCACGGCCGTGCCTCTCGGAAAGAAAAAAAAACATGTTTTTTTTTTCACGAGAGTCACGGTTTTGCTTTCACGAGAGGCACAGTTGTGCTTTCGCAAGAGTCACGGCCGTGCCTCTCGGAAAGGAAAAAACAAAACACGTTTTCTGTTTTTTTTTCGTTCATGAGAGTCACGATTTTGCTTCCGCGAGAGGCACGGTTGTGCTTACGCGAAAGTCACGGCCGTGTCTCTCGTAAAGGGAAAAAAATAAGCGTTTTCTGTTTTTTTTTCTTTCGCGAGAGTCACGGTTTTGCTTTCGCGAGAGGCATGGTTGTGCTTTCGCGAGAAACACGGCCGTGCCTCTCGGAAACGAAAAAAAAATGTGTTTTTTGTTTTTTTTTCCTTACACGAGCCACAGTTTTACTTCCACGAAAGGCACGGTTGTGATTTTGCGAGAGGCACGGGCGTGCCTCTTTCGGAAAAGGAAAAAATTCGTGTTCCTGGTTCGGTTTTTTCACCTGATTTTTTTGTCCGGTTTTTTTCGTGAAAAAAAAAGTTTGTCAAAACCTATCAACATGGGATCTAGTTTTGAAGATCTCGATGCGAGGAACCCAATGATGAAAACGGTTCAAGATTTAGACGCACAATTTAAGAGATAAAACATTTTGTATAAACGGATCTACGAGAAAAAAAAACATTTTGTATAAACGGATCTAAGAGATAAAACATTTAGACGCACAATGATGAAAGGTTGCGATAAGTGGCGCACTGCATGTGCGCCACTTATCGCGATATAGGAAAGTGGAGTGTTCTTTACAACAAGTATTTTTTAATTAGTGATTTCAGGGTGTAGCTCTGGGCTTTTACACACTAGTGTGGTTGGTGGCGGGGGTGTCGGCCGGCCGGCCGCTGCCTATGAAGCAGATGTTTATGTTTTTTTACAGCCCAAGCGTATCTTATTTACGCCAGCAAGATAAAGTTGACCTGTACCGGTGATGTCGCGTACTCAACTGGTTATTCAACTTTTCAACCACATAATGGCCATTCCTGGGCTGTCCGTTTCGTAGATGCGATGCGGGTAATCTTATTCTCAAGCATACCACGTTTTCCACGAGCGGTGAAAACGACTTAAACCTCCTCCTTCTTCTACGTCCCGCCTAGCATCCGTCCAGTTTTATATTTGGGTCGGCAGTGCGCACAACGCGTCGACCCATTTCATGTCCGTATTTAACTTTTAAATAAAAATGACCCGCGGCCGATCATGCCAACGCCGGTATTCAATGCCGGCTTCAGAAAATACCATAGTTCATGCTAGCGCACTCGCCAGCCGGCCGGCACACATGACAGCACACAAAAAAAGGTGAGACTTGAGTTCGATCACGTCGTCGCGGCTCTCGTGGTCATGCCAGCACACCTGCCGGCATACAAAAAAGATGGCCCTCGACAGTATACATCACTCGTCGTCAAACTTGAGCATGTCGGCCTGCATCTTCTCGAACCACGGCCTCTTCCTTGGCGACACGGTATTGAGATCCATCTTCATGATCTCCACCCCGGTTATCATGCTTGCAATAGCCACTTCTTTCGCCTTTGTCTTGGCGGTGGCGGCCTCGATCTCTAGCATCTTGGCTTGCTTCTCCGCCTCGATCTTGAACATCTTGGCTTGCTTCTTGGCGTCAAGATCAAGCCTCCTCCTTTGGATCTCCATGAAAGCATCCATTTGCTCCGCCTTGAAACGCCGGCGCTCCTCCTCCCTTGAGTTCTTCTTGTTAATCATGCCGTCCACGCTTGCGATCAAGGCATTGGTGGCCGCATCTCTCTTGTCCTCCTTCTTGAAGTTGGTCTTTCCCCGCGGCCGTGCCGGCTCGCCCTCCTCACCATCCTCCACGGCTTTCTTCCCCCCACGTTCCTTGAGGGCAGCATATTGCGCCTTGAACTTCTCTTCGTCATTGATGACCCGATAGCAATGGGAGAGGTTGAAGCACTTGCCATTGTGTTGAACCTTGAATGCCTCCAAAGCTTGAAATGCCTACAAAATGTTTCCATGCAAGCATATGGGCAAGTGATAGCAAATGAAGACGTAAAAGGATGATCTTGATGGCACAAAAGAGGGCGGCTTGCTTGCTATCATACCATGTCTTGCACGCCGATGCCGCTCACGGGGCAGGCCTTGACGCTCTCAAGGGTGGCGCAAAACTTGTTGCACTCTTATTGAATCACCCTCCACCGCTTGGAAATGGAGACTCACACGCGCGTGCTCACAAATTGGTAAGGTGGAAACTTCTTGCGCTCATGAAACTCGCGGTGCACACGAGTCCAAAAGGTCGAATGCTTTTGCTCGGCGCCCGTCTTTGTGTCTTGTCCAATGTCTCGCCAACACTCGCAAAGAAGCTTGTCCTCGGCGTCTGTCGCGCGCGTTTCCTTGAACAGGTTACGGGCGTCCGGGAGCCCGCCGGCCGGCGTTTGTCGCGCGCGTTTCCTCGTGCCGCCGGACGATGAGCCACCGACCACCGGGGTGGCGTTGAGGTCGATGGGCGCGGGCGCGGGCGTGGAAGGCACGACCACGCTCATGTCGGGTGAGCACTCCTCGGAGAGGCGGGAGGCCTGCGGGTAGACATGGAAGCCGGGGACCGGGTTGCAAGCCGACGCGCGGGGTGAGTCGGGCATCACCATCCGAGGAAACGCCAACGAGGCGGTGCTGGCCGCGGCGACGACGGCTTGGAGGACGATGTGCTGGCTAGGGTTTACCGCTAGCATGTAGAGCGCCTCCCTCGTTGCCGCGGCGACGCGGGCGTTGGTGAACTCCTGCTGCGCGGCGGCGATGGCGGCGGCCTCATCCCTCGCGTCTGCGGCGTGCCTCCGGCCCTTCCTCTTGGCCGACTCCCTTGCCCGCTGTTCAGGCGTCAGCGCCTTCTTCGGCTTGGTCGCGGCGGCGTCTTGCGCGGGGCACGAGTCTTGCCTTTCCTGGAGGGGGCGACGACGCTGGACGAGGCGAGGGAGCCAGGGCCGGCGGCGGCGTCGAGGTCGAGGTCGATGGCGTCCTCCATGGCTAGTTGGGGCACGCGCGGGCGGTAGCATTTTGGGAAAAAATGGGGGAAAATGATGGTAGCTGCCACCGACCGACGGGCCCGAGGAGAGGAGTAGGCGCGCACATGTCCGTCTCGTGTCCGCACCGACGTAAATCCGGCTCAAAATTGGGCCAGGAATGGGTCGCCCGCGGACAGAAAACAGACGCGCGTCCATTTGAATCGACGCGTTGGATTGTCACTTTTGTCCGCACCGATCCAAACGGACGTGGACGGACGAAATGGGTTGGCCCATTGAAGTTGTTCTAATAACAACCTCCAACCGTTGGGGCCCGGGCGCCTATATAGCTCCGGTGCAAACGTGTACCCCGTGTACTCCAACGTGTCACTGAGCCAGTTCAACATTGCCACGTCAATGCCCCGACTCACTCGCCCAACATGTTCTCATAGTCTCTCTCTTCCCTCTCTTCCTGGTTGTGTCAGATAGACAGATACTAATCAAAGGAAAAGGGCCTGCTGTGTTGGATTATGTCGAAACTCCAAAGAAGTCTCTGAAGAAGGATGAGAACTCATGTAAGTGGGATGAGACTTGCCTGATTCCTAAGTGTGCGCCCATCCGTGCTCCCGCCTACGTGGCTTGATTTGATTAGAACAAAATAAAGTCCGGCCCCACCGCCTTAAAATCAGGGGGGGAGATGATTAAATTAGAAAGGAAAAAAGAAAAAAAGACAGTCGTAGGATGAGGTGGAAGCACGGATGGGAGCATGGAAAGGAAGCAGGCAAGCCGGATCCATGTAAGTGGATTGCTCCGCCTCAGAACTGGGCCAAACTAAATACGGATGGATCCTGGTCGGCTGATGGAAGTGCGGGAGCGGGGATGATACTTCGAGATGATACAGGAAATATAGTTTTCTCATCCTGCAGAATCCTTTTCTTTTGTAGGGATGCTATGGAAGCGGAATTGTGTGCTTGTATGGAAGGGCTTTTTTTGTCTCTTCAACATTCAGATCAACCAATTTTTCTGGAGATGGACTCAATATCAGTGGTGAATCTACTAAAGGATGTTGACCATGATAGGTCGGTGTTCGCTTCATTAGTGTCAGAGATTAAATATCTTATGTCTCCACGTAAAATTTGTAGTACTTGTATTAAACGTAGCCAAAATCCTGTAGCAGATTATTTGGCAAACTTTGCTAGAACCGAAAAGAGAACTGTAGTGTGGTTGGGCTCTGGTCCATCAGGAGCGCTTGGTTTTAGCAGAGTTGATTGTAATCCTGATTTTGATTGAGTAATACAAGCTTTTACACGCAAAAAAAAAAAGATACTATTGTATTTCCGTTTAATGCAAAAATGGAAAGCGGTATGCCCGGTTCAAAAAAAAATGTCCTCATAGTCTCCAGCAGGAAACCTCCGTTATGCAGTGCTAAAGATTTAGGGTATTTCTCCGCCGCGGTAGCAAATAGCCAATACCTCTTCCACGGCTGCAGCAGGGAGAAATCCAAAAAAACCTTTGTCATGGCAGCCATCTGAACTAGTTTTCAGAAAACCTTCCAGAAACTATCCAAATCAGCTCCAAAATAGATAACTCTCATAGCAACTCGAGCTAACTTTTGACAGTGAATGAAATTGGTCCGATTTGGTCCAGACGATAGCTGAATTGTCTCCTCTCTTCTACACACATACACAGCAGCACACAAGCAGTCATTGTTCAGCATCCCAAACCGCTCGTCTCACGTTTCTACACAACCTACATGCAGGTATCATCAGGCCTTGGCGGCGGGGGAGCAGAGGCGCTGGAGGTGCCTCTCGACGACGTCGAGGCCACAGAGCTCCTTGACGTCGGCCATGGTCGCCGGCACATCCATCTGAAATGTCAGTGGCGAGTTGACCGAGAATTCCCTCCTAGCCGCTCTGATGGCCTCCCGCATGGCGCAGTGCACCGATGCCGCCAGCAGCAGCGGTGGCTCGCCGGACGCCTTGGAGGAGAGTACCCGCTTCTTGTCGCGTGCGCTGCTGATGAGCTCCACGTTGAACTGCTTCGGGATGGTGTCCACCGTCGGGATCTTGTACGTCCACGTGCCATCGTTCACCACCAGCCCATCGGCGTTCGTCGTGTACTCCTCGTTTGTGAAGAACCCAACCCCTTGCACAAATGCGCCCTCCACCTGATCCATCAACCAAAAATAATTTCAGATTACAGCAATCTTCCAGCAACCAGCTGACTGCGTCGATTGGCGGCGAGCTCACCTGGCCAAGGTCCACCGCCGGGTTCAGGCTCTGCCCGCAGTCGTACACCAGGTCGCTCCTCAGGATCGTCGTCGCTCCAGTCAGAACGTCGATTTCCACCTCGCTCACGGCAGCTCCATAGTTGAGGTATTTTACAAAGGCTGGGTCGGGCGTCCAGAAGGCGTGCGCCGATAGGTTCACGCTCGCCATTGTCGCCTGGGCGATCAAAGCGCTCCATGGCGTCACTGCACCAGATTTGGTCTCGAGGCGCTCTTTGATGGGTCTAAGGCGCTTGACGAGCACGGCGCACGCCTGCCGGACAGCCTCACAACTGACCTCAGAAGTGGAGCTTCCGCCAGTGAAGCTGCCTTGGATCAAGCTCAGCGTGTCGACCTGGATGACGCGCACCTTGTCGAGGAGCCCGTCGGTGTCAGAGCAGAGCTCCCCCAGCCCGAACGCCGTCATCTGCTTCACCTTGGTATGCAGCCCTTGCCCGATCTCCACGCCGCCGACCTCGACGGCAACGGACCCGTCGTTCAGGATGGACACCTTCCCCGGCGTCGGCCGGAGCCTCACCTCATATGTGATCGGGACACACGAGATGCCGCGCTTCTTCCACCTGCTCCCGCCATTGAACCACCCAACCGCCTCCGCCCTGCTCCGGTACTCCGACGACGAGGCTAGCTTGTCGAAGATGTCGACGAGGCTGTACGTGGGGGCGTCCCCCGCGGCATCACCGTAGAATTTCGTGAGGCTCTCAACGCTGTGGAGATTCTTCCTACGGATGGCGTTGGGGTCGGCCGCAAGCTCGGACGCAATGTGCTCGATGATGGCCTCCGCGATGAAGGAGCCTTGCACGTCGCCAGGTGCCCGCATCGCCGACTTGGACGACACGTTGGTCTTGCACAACTTGATGTCGAAGGCAAGGGCACCCCAGTTGTACTTCTTCAGAGAACCGATGATGGAACTCGGCATCAATGGGCTCAAGTCTGGCGATATCCCGGCGTTGATCCCAAGGTCGACGTGCAGTGCCGTTAGTGTGCCATCTGACTTGAACCCAACCGAGTACTTCACCTTCATCGGGTGCCGCCCACCTGTCATGATCATGTCGGTCTTGCGGTCGAGGTACATCCTGACAGGGCGCCGCAGCTTGAACGCTGCAAGTGCACACGCACATGCGACCTGAAGAACACAGAAAAAATCATTAAATTCATAAATCAATGCGTATGTTGTTATATAGTGGGGCACTTACATAGGATCCTTTCATTGCCTTTCCACCAAAGCCGCCTCCAACTCTTCTGGTGATGATGCGAACATTGTGGCACGGAATGCCGAGGCAGTCCGCGATGACATTCTGCGTGATCTCTGGTAGCTGCGTTGAGGAGTAGACGGTGATGCAGTTATCTTCGTCAGGGATGGCCAATGCAGTCTGCGTCTCCATGTAGAAGAAGTACTGTGATTCAAGTTTCACCTGTTGGAAATTAACAAAAGATACTAGGTGTCAATATTTGGGCCTTATCTGAAACTAAGAATGCAGCCTCCTAAATATCAAGTGTCTACCTCTCCTGATAGGATCTTCTGATCTGCTTCAGACATCCCTTGGTCGAAGTCCCCAATCGGCTGAGGAGCCAAAAATGGGAGAACAGGGAAGTAGCTGTTATGTTGGATGGCGTCCTCTATTGTCAGAATTGGCGGCTCAAGATTCTCGGTGCTATACTCAATGATGGCTTGCTTTGCCGCCATATAGGCGTATTTCTGTGTTTCAGCTATCTGAGTGATGGCAAAGGAACATGATGATGCGATAAGTTCAAATGACCACTTAAAATTCAGGGTAAAAATATACTGCTGCTGGTTATGTATTTTCCTGAAATTGAGTTCAAGTGGTTCAGAAGTAGGTACCACAATGCCAATATTTTGACCAGCAAATTCAGACACCGGATGACCAAAAAGCGCTTCGTCTCCTAGCATCGGGAAGCCGGATCCAACATTTCTTCCACCAGCTGGAATGTCCTTTGCGGAGATAACTGTGATGACCTTTTTTGAAGCCAAAGATGATTTGAAGTTGACACCTTTTATATGGGCATGAGGGTGTGTGCTGTAGATAAATGCTCCATAGAGGCAATCCTTGGGAGCTGGGATGTCATCAACATACACAGCCTCCCCTGAACAAGACCAAGAATATTGTCAGTGCATGTTTCAGAATAGAAATGCAGGGATGAAGCATATCAGATGGTCCTGCATTGATGGACCAATGTACAAAAATAACTACCAAATGATCTGAGTCTTCAAAAAAAGAAAAGATCTTGATTTCAACTATGCAGAAGAAAATATAAGTTATATTACCGTAACCTTTGTAAGAAGCTCAAGCTACGGGAAGCTAGAAATTGAAGTGCCAGGTCTAGTACATACACAGCTATAGTGAAAATTAATTGAATGAAACATTTGCACCAAATACTGGAATAAGAGTTTAGGAGTATACCAGAAGCTTGAAGCTCCGCCCCAGCTTTCGTGATTGGCTTGCCGACAGGTTCGTATTCATCATTGAAAACCAGTTCCTGCCTTGAGAGAATTGGCAAGCCATCGCTGGCAACCTTACCATGCTTCTCAGGCGATGACTCGGCACATGAGCCATTGGGAGCAATAGACTTTGCAGGTTCATTCAGGTTGTTACTAAGTGAAGAAAGGAAACTGAACAAGAAACTGACCGCCAAGCTGACTCTGTACTCAGGGTGTGTGGTGCCTTCTGACGGCGAGATAACATCTTTCAGCAACTGAACCGCTTCAAGTATCACAGGTGCACTTGCTGGTTTCCCCTTCAGGAATTCTTCAACCTTCCGAGCTCGGGTGGCGTGACCAACGCCGTAAGCGCCAAATGCTAGGCAGATTTCGTCGACAATGAGCTCCCCTGATGCTGCATCCCCTGAAGTCCTTGCCAGGAATGCAGAATTCACATAGGACACAGCATTGCCGAACGGTCTTGGAGCTGCACGGGAGGTCTCGAAGATGACACTGTCTGAACCCCAATCTGGGACAAATATGGTGAGCAATATGGTCTTGGCGTCACAGGGAGGTTGCTCCAAGAACTCCTCCAGTGTCAGGCACAGCATCTTGGAAGCCGTCTGGATTGTCACTGTCGAACCCACGGCGAGAAGGACAGTGACGATGTCTGAAGCGAAAGGCAGCCTCTGCGCCATGATCATGTTCCCTCCGATCGTCGCCGTGTTCCGGACGAACGGCGAGGCCACCTTGCTCAGGTGATCGGCGATCTTTCTGAATACGGGAGTGCCATCGGAGAAGACCTCAATGGCTTTGGAGATGGACACGGCTGCCCCGATCTCCACCCCCTTGTTGCTCCTGTTGATGACCGAAAGCTCCGGTATCCCTTTGATGTCGATGTACTTTTCATAAAGGTCTTGATCCTTGTACACTCCGGCGCCGGTGTTTGACGCCACGATCTTAACTGAGTTTTCGTCGAACCAGTTGGAGTCAAAGAGGTTGCGGAGCTCCTGGATGCTCTTGGGACGGTACCAGCCATCGTACGTAGCGGCTGGAACATCGTTTGTTTGACCCTTGATTTCGGCCTTGAGGAACTCAGGGAAGGTACAGACGGCGCCGCTGGAGTACCCCGGTAGCTTGCCCACATCGGCACGGTCGATACCTTTCTTCCAGAAGGAATTGAGGCCAAGGTCCTCGAGGTCGACGTCAGCAGCGAAGCTCTTGCAGGCATCGATGATGGGCCGGTAGCCGGTGCAACGACACAGGTTGCCGGAGACGGCGTGCTCAGCCTCGGAGCAGGTGAGCTTGGAGAATCCCAGCGGTGGGGCGGGATCCCCGGTCTTGTCGGCCTTGACGAGGGCGGAGAAGATGGACATGCACATGCCGGGAGTGCAGAAGCCGCACTGCGAGGCGTGGAAGCCGGAGAGGCGCTGCTGTACTGGGTGGAAGCCATCGCGGGTGTTGCCGATGCCCTCGCTGGTGATCACCGAGCAGTGGTTGAGGCTGCCGACGAGTGTCAGGCAGGAGCTCGCTGAGAACTCAGTCACCTTGTCAGTGGCCAGGTCATACTTGGAGATAAGTACCACACATGCACCACATCCACCTGCACACAGGAATGTGACATTGTAAATAAGAAACACTGCCGGCTTGATCTAACACGCGCACTGGCTATGAATCGGCTGAGACTGAAGATAAATCTGTAAATCTCAGAAAATCACGCTAAGTGCACCGTTATGTGTAAATATAAACACCAAGATACGAACAATCGTGAGTGAAGTGACTCTAAGATCTATCAAATCACTGTTGTGTGAAAAATGTAATCAATTGTTCAAGTCTACTCAAAATGAACGTTGCTTTTACTAAAATTAACAAATTGCACATTTATTAGCAAAGCATATTTTAATATGGACTGAAGTTTGCTAGCGATTGCTAATTGAAACATGCGGCAAAGTTTCCAATATCGTTAATTGCATATGGGACCTGACCACCAAACAGAAAAAACAGCAATTACAAATCAGAGAGTGAAAAGTCCAATAATCAGAGACCATGTTCAGCAGTAGCCCCAACATCTTAAATGGGGTCTCCCCCTATTTCCTGATTCCCAAAATAATGGCTACAACTCAAGCAACAACCCCTATTTCTCAGCTCAATTTTCCTTTGTCCTATTTGCACAAATATTTCATGTTTTACTTTATGTTTGACATCACAAAAATTCAAATATAACTATTTCTAGTGCATAGAATTCAAGCATATTCAAATTCACAATTTCAAACACAGCAATTAAAGTTCAAGTGCATAGGTAAATTTTATCATGAAAGAATATCCATCCGTGTATCGGTGTATGGCTTCACTTTTTATTCTTTCTGATTTCAACCACTCGAAAACACAAAACGTCAAGAAATGCACTGAAGCACTTCACATCCATGTATCGAATCTGATGAATCAACTCACAGCTGAAGCACTCAGTCATTCATAAACATCGATTTCAGAAGCATTTAGTAGCAGCATTACACCATCTATCCAATATACTGAAATTCCAATCAATCAAGCATCACATCCAATTTGCATCAAGGATTTATCCACAGCGGGGCTAATTCATAAGCAATCCCCATGTTGATCTTAGGCTCAACATGTATTACGAACACGAAGCAAAGATGTACAGCGGATAGGATGGACACAGATGCTAGCACGTGATCAGTGACTGATAAAATTGATCATGCACTCAATCGCCCTACCGTTTTACTTTTACCACATACACTAATTAGAAGTCATCAGCCAACCACAACCGCAGGCGCCTACAGTACACCGGCTGCGCGCGCCTGGGGGCTGCCCGCGCGCCCTCCAGCTCGACCTCAGGCCGCTGTCCCAGATGGGCGTACGCACGTTACAGACAGCCGAGCGGGGACAAAACGTCGAACGGGTTACGTGCAGCAGCATCAAGCTGTACCCGTGGAGTATGACATCGCGTACCTCGTCCCGGCGTACCTCCTCGCCGGCGAGGCGAGCGACGGTTTCCTGGCACTTGATGTCAGCCAGCGCGGCGCGCGTGAGCTCCACTCGGCGCTCGGCGGCCGAGATGAGTACCGCCCGCGGGGTGCGGGCGGGGAAGAGCCGGCGGCGAGGAGCACTGGACCTCGGGAAACTCGTCGGTGCAGCCGGATTTGGTCTACAATACGGGGGGCGCTAGTGCGGCGTCGGGGAGATCCAAGCCGAGTTGCTAGAGTTCACGGGACGGCGACGGGGGGCGGCGCGAGGCATGGTGGAACCGTGGAGGTGAGCAGGACGTCCCCGTAGCCGGGAAGGATGGAACATTCTCTTCATATATATAAATGTTTTCTCTTCATATATATAAATGTTTTCTTTTAGGGTATAAAATAAATATTATTTTGTTATACTATACATGAACCTTTTTTTAACTCATGGGGATATTTTGAATAGGCGTTGAACATTTTTTTAGACAGGTAAATGTATCCTTGGAGTTTGAACTTGTCGCGGATTACCATTTTGAGTTATGACATACACAAAAGTGATGAATTTGTCTTCCATGGATAACCGTGCTGATGCGGCACCATATTTTTGTTTGAAGTAGTCTACTCTGCCGAGATGGTGGATGGATCCCACTCATGAATAATAAAAAAATAGTAGTTGCCCATGTGGGTCCCATCTATCAATGACCTACAAATAGTATGTTCGGCTTAAGGTCTGAAATAGCGATATGTAGCTAACAACACCGTGCACCAAACATCCGCAGCACGGCTTGGACGATTAAGAGGGTGCTTGGATACGTTTTAGTCCCATGACTAAAAGTAGTGGGACTAAAACTTGCTAGCCTCACCCATACTTGGATCCAAATACTAAAGAGACTAAAATCAAGTTATTGAGCATTTATTATCCTCCAAACCCTCTAATCCAGAACTCGCATGTGTTAAAGGAGAGGAATTAAATGAGGAGAGAGAGGGCTAATACATATTTTAGTAGGTTTCCTATGACTAAAAAATTTTAGCCTCAAGACTAGTCCTAGCCTCTCTTTAGTCAGGGGTGCTTGGAACTTTAGCCTCTAAAAAAGACTATTTTTAGTCAGACTAAAAATAGCCCCTTGGATCCAAGCACCCTCTAAAATCCACAAGCCGAAAAAAAAGTTGGGAGAGGTTTGTCTCCGTCCGGACATGTGCCACGTAGGCCTCCAACAACCCCGGTCTACACAAAACCCTCTCCCTCATTCCACTCCAACCGCCACTTCGTTGCCTACGCCGCATTCATGCCAATCCAGAGTGAACACGACTAGTCACTGGCGCATGCCGGTTGAATGACATGGCATTCATATAGGTGCAGCTGTCGAGACGCCTACTCTGGCCCGCCGCTCGCGCCCTGTTAGGCTGGTCATAGTGAGAGTAACATAGGTAGTAACATAGATGCCACATAAGCAAAAATGATGATGTGGCAAGTACTTAATGAGGAGAGAGGCAAATAGAGTAACATAATATGTTACCATCACATAGCGGTTTCCAATGCATAATGAGTCTACAAAGTAATAAATGAAGGCAACTATGTTACCACACCTATGACACTATCCACTATAAAGGTTGTAACATAGACTAGTAACATATGTATGTTACTAATCTAAGTTACTCCCCACTATCAAGTTCAAAGAGGATGTGACTGGAGTAGGCAATGGGATGACTTCCTGCCACAATCAAGTGAGCCGACCGTCCTTTCGCCTGCCCGACATTCACGTTGGCATGACGAACGAGAAGCCAACTCCAGGCTCATTCAAGCCGTCGCTCGAGTGCCCGCTATTTAAAGAACGCCGGCCACGGCACAAACTAGTACCACCTCCGAGCCTCGTCGATCACGCCCTCTAGGATTTTGTGCACAATGCCTGCACCATCCGCTGTGAGCGTGACCTCCAGTTCGACGGTGACGGATGAGAATGCTGTTAACATCGACAGCTCCGCATCGTTCGTGCCGGGCTGCAATGGATACGGGGCCGGACGGTCCGATTTGATTGTCGATGTCCATTTGATGGTTTTTTTTGTGTGCATGCAATGTTGAAGTTGCCCTTAACGGACACGTTTTCTTTGCATCCTTTCAGATGAACAACATAAATTAAGAATCTTAACCAGGGTTTGAACGGCGACATCAGGCTATCATGTGACCGTGTCTGCCACTCCAACGAATGACATTTCCTATCTGTGAACGATGAGAAGTATAATTATTATTTATGTCAATAACAAAATGTGCTTGTCGGAATTAAATGGGTTGGTGTGGCTCATTTTTCACATGTTAGATTTTACTTTTTTTAGAAATTTTGTAAATATGTAAACTATAATCATGTGTTTTAAATAAAATGAACTACATTAATAATATGTTCATTTAATTTCAGAAAATATACAATTATTATTTAAAAATATCCATACAAATAAAATATGAATTATACATATATTTTTATTATTTAGAAATGTGTTCGAATATTTAATAAAAATACAAAAGTAAAATTTTAAAGTTCTTATGAACTTACATAATAGCACGTATAAGTTTTAAAAGGTTCGGAATTTAATAAAATGTTCATGTAGTATATAAAAGTGTTCATGATTTAATAAAAAATTATGTTGCTCTAAAAAGTGTTCACATGTTTTAATAAAGTTTGTGTGTTTTCCAAAATATATATTTATATGTATTTTGAAAACTAAATAGTAAAATATGTATTGAAAATAAATACAAGACTAGTGTGCACCTACACCGCAGATCCTCATATGAATAATATTTAGTCATACGAAAATACTTATTTTTATTATTTATTTTTAAATGATAATATATTTATAATAATACATGAGGATTTTATTAAATAACATGGACATTTTTTAAATTTAATTTATTTGTATGGATATTATTTATAACACACAATTTTTCTCAATTTATTGTTATTATTGTGATTATAATTTACAAATTTCATAAAAAATCTAACATGTGAAAAAGGGCCTCATTGACGGCAGCTCCAATGAGTGTGTTTTGTTATAGCCATAAATGGTAATTATCCTTTACAAACAACAAACATCTTCGATTGGATTAGCTAGCAGGGAGGGCACGATAGCATGAAGTCACTGTTTTGAACCCCTGAGACAGAATCATTTTTCATATTCGGATCAAAGTTCTTAATTTATGTTGTTTACCCGAAAGGATATAAAGCATATGTATCTATTTAGGACAACAAATCTCAACGGTTGGCGTTGCTAGGGACACACGTCGGGTTAGCGGTAGGTCGGTAGCTCGAATCCCTGAGCGGTCCATCTTCCATTTCAATACAACTTTTACTATTTCACTAACATGTAGGACCCATCTATTCATTTTGACTGTTGGATGGCAGGTGGGACCCACCTGATGCCATGTCGGTAGAATAGAAGGATCAAACAAAAATATGATGCCACATCAACGCAGTTAACGTCTACAGACGGCAAATGCATGATATTGCACCCGGAAGCCAAATTCATGCACCACTTTTTTGTATACCACAACTGTAGGGCCCAAAGTGATCATATCTGGTAAGTTCAAGCACCAATGGTGCATTTACCTCTTTTAAAATACATGTTCAACATTTTTCAAAGATATTAATATTTTAAATACACGTCAAACATTTTCCTAAATGTGCAGTAAACATCTTTTGAAAACATTAAAAAAAGGAACACTTTTTACAAGTTCTAATGTAAACATTTGTATATACAAATTAAATAAATAGAAAAAAATAGAAAAATAAAAGTAGAGGGCCTACAAGCCATAAAGACTGCTTGATCGGCGATCGAAAATGATAAAATTGAAGTTAGCTGGCCCGACCCATCTGGCAGGTGCGTGTGTGATCCAGCAACATCAGTAACCGTGGATACCCTATATCAACATTTTTCCCTTGATCTGTCGACTTCACCCGCAGGAGAAGGGGCTGGAGGGTTATTCTTGGGTGCCCCCCATCTCAAGGCTATGCAGATCATTTTCACTTTAATTAAAAACTATTCAAAGGTTGTGTATACGAAAATGGTAAACTTACTCATCAGTTTTTTTTACTCCAGTATGACATAGCTTCAGCCTTATATGACTTTGCTAATTACTAGTGTGATTGTGTGTGTGATGTTAGATATGTGTATCCTAACTATGTAGAAGCTTGGTGTACGCTTATTATGTTTGTATTCCTTAATGCTACATTTTAAATTAATAAAAGCAACACTTTGTCGAGAAAGAGACCACGCTAAGAGACACCAGAAAGCCAATACCGATATCCATTTTAAGTGGCGAGACAGGTTGTGTTGTATGCATGAGATCCGAGTCGCCCGTCGGCTGGCAAAGCAGCATAACTTGATTAACTACCGTGAACAGGAGGTCCCGTGCATGGTGCAACCGTTGATTGTTGCGGCACGTTTTGTGCTGGACTTGGTCAAAACTAATGTACCAATCTTGTATAATGTAATATATTTTTTGCGCTGTTTGTATAATGTAATATTAAACCACCCACCCATGCATGTTTTTTATATGATTAAAAGATTCTATCAATTTTATTTAAAATTTGAATTCGAAAACATGGTAAAAATTTATGAAACTTAGTGATACACGATGCAACACAAAATAGACCTAATAAAACTTGATAATGTTGTTCCATAGCGTTTAGTTTTTTATATTCTATTTTGCCTTGTACCATAGTGTATCATGCCATTAAACTGTGTGTTAAAATGATGAATAGAAAACTTGGTGTATCATAATTCTTCACTATAGAACTTGAGAAACTTGGTGAAAACTCCATGCGCGTGTAATGCAAAATGTTTCATAGAGTTTCATCATGTTTCAGATTTCAATTTTTAAAACTTGTCAAAAATGTATTCAAGAGTGATCTTGTTTCAAAGTATTCATTGCAAGGAACACAAAGATACAAACGATCATAAATTAGACTTTCGATTCAATGGATAAATTAGATTCGAACTTTGGAATCAAATGGGAAGGCATGGGTGGGTGAAATGTTATATGTGTAGTCTAAGAGGGAAAGGAGGAGAGAGATTGACCCATGCACCGGACCTCGGGAGAATTTCTTTTCTCATGGTAGCATGCTAAGAACATAACAGGTAGCATGTGCCTTCTGATCTCCGCATCTGCGTTGCTTGCCATTTCTGTTATCAGATTATTGCATACTACACAGAGTCTAGACAAGGCAAGGAGATTTCTCCGGGCTCTTATATTTTGGTACAGAGGTGGGGGCTTCTCCAACATACTCACACTGCGTCTGCTTGCTTGTAGTCTTTGTCGCTTTGTTGTCCGGTGGGGGCTTTCGGCCCTTTGTATCTGGTTTTCGTCTGTCTTTCTTAATTAATTAGGCAACTCTTTTCTATATGAAATACAGGAACTCCCTGCCCGCTCGAGGGTTACTTGAAAAAGCCGTCTCACATTTTTGGTACGAAGTTGTAGTAGTACATATTTGTGATGTTTGATGAGTGAAGGATATGATAGCGCTACTCCGCTAGCTAACCTAGTTCGATCGTGCGGCCTCCTTGATCCGGCTTATGCACCTAAAGCTTTTCTCTGACCGGAACGAACTACCCATCAAAGTGAAAGAATTGAACAAGCTAGCTAGCCACTGGAGATGTACCGATCGAGTCGTCGGAGGCGGCGCTCACCTTCGCCGCAGCCGAGCTTGGGGCCCCTGACGGGCGTCCGCGTGCGCAGGAACTCGAGCAGCGTCATGGACGGGTCGACGCCGGCGGCCTCGTGCCGCGCGCCGTTCACCGCCAGCACCACCCGATCCGCTGCCGCCTCCTTCCCCAACGACCCCATCTCTCCACAACGATCGACGGGCCTCCTCGATCCAAGTGCGCTGGGCACAGAGCGAGGCCGCCATTTTATATACTCGGCCGGCAGGGCTCCCGCTGGAGCGGCGGCAGCGCTATGCAGTGACGTTGGACGGGAAACGGGCCATCCCGGGGCATGCATTAGCTGGCCGCCGTCGCGATCTGCATCAGCAGTGAAGGTAACGTGCGAGAGCGCGGTTGGTGCGGCGGTGACACGGTCGATCGGGTAGTCAAACTCGTGACGCCGGCCGATACTATTTTCCGCTCCTACATCGGTCTTACCTCTCTCTCAATCAACCAGGAATCCGGGATCTTTTCAGTGCCGGGGAGAGTGGAGACGTAGGATGTTCTTCCACTCTCGGTGGTGTGCGTACTGGCTGACGCGATTCCACTACAGCGGGAGGCGGCTAAGCGATGTTCAAGTTTTATTCGGCTGGAGCGTTATTGGCCTTCAGCTCAACCATGTCTTCTCCTCCCCCCACCCCAGGTGGAGGGCTTTGCCCTCCCCCGGTGACCTTCAAAAAAGAATCATGTCTTGTCACGCGAGACTTGTACCGGTAATCTGATGTCGCGTATAGTCAACTTCTGGGGCCGTCCGTTTGGTAGACTGATACCTGAGGGTATTTTATTTCGAGTAGACGACTGGAACCACCACCAATCACGTACTTTTTGACGAAAATGATGCAGCGCAGTGAAAACAGCGTAAACCATAGCCGGGTGGTAGCATTTTTTCTAGAAAGAAAACACAAACCATACATCTTTATCTTTACCTCTTTACCTATAACAATGATTATATATATATATATATATATATATATATATATATATATATGACAAATGTTTCCTACAAGCAGTGATAGTTACCATCACTTGTGTTTTGTATGTTGTATGTAGTATCTATCGAAACCGAGAGTATGTACGTGTAGTATGTTATATATAACAATGATTAGGTAGTATATATACTAATTTTTAGGTAGTATGTACCATGTTTTGAGTAAGTTTTTTTTACGAACAAATATGTACGTATTTCACAAATATAACAAAAACTATGGGCTCATATGCAATTTTTTTATGTAGCTTGCTTTAAAATATCTTAGATATAGTATATGAACATATTTAAAATAATAAAATAGTATATATAGTAGCACATGGTAGTATACGAGATATGTGGGATAACTACCACTGGGTGGTAGGATGGATTTTCCCTATATATATATATATATATATATATATTATAATAATAATAATATAATAATAATAAAGCAAATTGAGTTTCTTTCGTCCATCATGGCATTTTTTAGAAAAGTTTCTCTATTTCAAAGAATTCAACCCACAGTCCTGTTTTAAGTTAAAACGAATCGTTATTTTCGTATTTCACACAAAAGTCCCTGTCTTTTCTTCAAATCAACCCACCGTCCGGATTTAAGTCACACCAGAACCGTTATTTTACATTTTTCAAAACCCCCCTGATGTTTTAGATAATTCATCCATGAATCATATTTAAGTCAAACAAATGCTTTTTAAAATCATCCATATCTTTTAAACCGTAACTCCGATTTGAACATGTTATATATGAAATTTGATTAGAAAAATATGTAGAATATGAATATGAGATTACTTTTACCTGTTAAGTATTTTTAAATATTTTTTTGGATTGTATTTGAGTCAAACCAAATGATTTTCTAAATTATCTGTATCTTTTAAACCGTAACTTCGATTTTAACATATTATATATGAAATTTTATTAGAAAGATGTGTGGAATCTAAATATGATGTTAATTTTACATGTTAAATATTTTTTAAATATTGTTATGGAAGCAAACTTATAATTTATAACGCAAGATTCATTTTTTTTTCATACCGGCGACGATCCGGATTGCAAATAAACACCCCACTATAACCATATACGGAAAAAACATCGATAACCACACATGCATACCTCTGAAAAATATCGCAGGGGAAAACAATAG